CCGTGTGTAAGACAGGGTACAACTTTTTTCCACAAGTTTAGACTTTCTCTGACCTTTTTGCTTATGCCACAAATGCTGGAATGTGACTTTTGAGAGCAGAAAAACTGAATGCTGGAGCATTCTGGGATTCCCCACCCAGTCTGACTCACTGTGTCCACAGCAACCACAAACAGGGGGAGGAAACACCCATGTGCTACAGGAAGAGGCCTATAGTGCCAATAACCACTGTTAATGATTGTGTCACAAGACCCTCACATGACACATCTCACCTTCAGAACTTCTGTTTTAAATATTTAGTTAGGTAGGGGGGAGGAAGTGATTTGGCTTTCCATTCAGGGAACTAGGAATATAGTAGCCTTCTTAAAGTGACAGTGCACCTAAAACCAGAATTTTCATTTTTGAGTGCACTACCCCTTTAAGAAGCATGTTCATCATATGAAAGACTCGCTGTTAAATTCACTGACCTGCTCAACCTGTTTATTAGTTTTCTGCTTTAAGCAGTGTTATTTTAATATCACTGAGATACCATTGTAAGTTTTTATTAATATTTTGAATTCGTTTTTATTTGTATACTTTTGTTTTCACTTTGATTTGAACGTTTTAGTCATTCTGTTGTGTTTTTGTTATTTTTATTAGTTTTTTTTTATGTTTATATAGTTTTTATTCATTTTTATTTCAGTTTTAGTTATTTTAGTACATCAAGTTAAACTGAATAAAAATGAGATTTTTCTTTTTAATTTGAAAGCAACATTAAAATAAGAAATGTTTCTTTGTTTTATTTTATTTCATAATGTTTTTTATATTTTCTTTTCTTTTATTTCAGAATTTTAGTTCGTTTAAAGTTGCAGAACAGCATTTCTTCACAGGGTGGATTGTTTTTATTTTCGGTCAACATGAAGGATATTCTTTAGTATTGTTATAAAGTTATTCATTTATAATTGCGATATAATCTACCATTTTTAACAGTGTTAGCGGATATCTGTAGAGCAGGGTGGCCAATATAAAACCAATATTTATATAATGTAACAATATCAAATGGCAAGTTATAGAAAATCTGTCTTCATATTAAACAAATGGTCAGTTTATTAATATGCCTGGTCTCTCTCTCTCTCTATTTATAGCCTAATAATCTAATAATTAAGGCACAACTGGAAGTTGAAGTCTAGTGCATTTCAAATGTATCCATTTAACTGCGACAGAGGAACTACAGCTGTGATTGTGGTTGCAAATGTTATCAGGCTGCCCTTTATTCGGTTTAAAAACAAAGAAGTGTGCATACATATATTAATTTAAATTATAATATTTGACAATATTACTGTTTTTAAAAGTGTTTCTGATCAAATACATACAGCCTTGGTGAACATTAAAGAGGCTTTTTTCAGAAGCATTAAAAAAATCTGCAGTGTCTTTTATATAATGTGCACGTATGCTATGCATTGACTGTGAATTTATCAACTCATTATTCATGTTCTCTTGCCTTTGATTCTTTTACAGCTGTTATGGGAGCAACAACAACTACAGTTGTAACCACACAATATCCTCAGCAGCCTGTCGTTCAGGGAGGTCAGTACCCGCCGTACCAGCCCATGCCGCCTCAGGCCGGGTACGGCGGCACACCAGCTTATGGTGGACAACCCATGCCGACGGGACCATACCAGGGCCAGCCATATGCAGCGGGACCACCACCCCCATATCAGGAGACTGGTAAGATAATACGACCTTGCACAACAAAAAGTCCAGTCAGCCGGGCTATTTACAAATATTCATGATGATTTTGCTGTAAATGCTGTGAATGTTGTCATTTTAATGCACTTTTTATTTGGCAATAATGTGTCATTACATAGTTTTGCAATCCTTCATTGTCTCATGACTTGTGAGTCATGAGTATGACGGTGTTAAGACCGTTCAGAATGTTTCTGTGAATCAATTCAAAATGATTCATTTGCATTGCCACTGGAAAATGTTGCCTGTGACACTTGATTTATTCAAGCGTTTTAGTAAAAATATATATGTTGGTAATTATTGCTGTTAAAACAGAATAGTTTTAGATTGTTTTTTTTTTTATAACAGACTATTTAACAAACCTTTTTACTTTGCGTTCTTGCAAGTTGGCTATTTAAAATGACAAAATTAAAAAAATATATATTTTTAAACCATTTAATCTCAAATGCATATTTGAGATATCTCATACCATCAAAAAAAAAAAAAAGTGTTTTTTTAAAAAACCATTGCCATTCAAAAGTTTTGTAAAGAAGGAATCTCTTATGTTTATCAAGGCTGCATTTATTTGATCAAAAATACAGTGAAAAACAGTCATTTTGTAAAATAGTATTGCAATTTAAAAGAACTGTTTTTATTGTATTATATTTTTAAATGTAATTTATTCCAGTGATGACAAAGCTGAATTTTCAGTTTTGTCAGTCTTCAGTGTCCTTCGGAAAGCATTCTAATATGCTGATTTAATTCTCAAGAAACATTTATTATTATTATCAGTGTTGAAAACAGCTATGTTGCTTCATATTTTTGTAAAACTGATATTTTTTAAGGATTCTTTGATGTATTGAAAGTTCAAAAGAAAGTTCATTTATTTGAAATAATACAAGTCTTTTTTTGATCAAAGTCATTGCTGTCACTTTTGATCAATTTATTGCATCTTTGCTGAATAAAAGTATTCATTTCTTAAATCCTAAACTTTTGAACGGTAGTGTTAAATTACCCAGTCCAACTGAGTTAAGGTTCAATTTGCTAGAATCTAAAAAAACTGCATGGCTTTCACCTGAAAATTTTGCTCTAGATTGAAATCGAAAAAAAGGGGCAAGTGTTGGATAGAGGTTTCACTGACTCAAAGTGAAGCTGTTATTCTGCATGCGTTTCCAGGAGGCCCAGGATATCCTGTTCCCTACAGCCAGGCTGCGTATGACGGCGGGCAGGCCGCGTACCCCGTGCAACCACCAGTTCAGCCCGGATTCGCTCACCCGCCCCCACCAACAGGCTACAGCTCAACTCAACCAGCTTACAACCCCACCTACGTGGAGACACCAAAGACCGGCTACTAAACCACAACCTGGATTGTTGATGGTTATGTAGTTTTATCCTACAATTGCGCAATGTACATATACTGCGGACAGCATCCTCCAGTCGGGTCGGGAATGAAATGATCAGTGTTTGCTATCATTGCCGCTTTAAAGTCTTTGCGTGTGCCAGCATCGTTTTCTTTACACTTAAGTTTATATAAATATATTTTTATCTACTCCAGCCATTGTCTGTGACTCCAAGCCAAATAATGTTTTCGTTTGGTTTTTCTCCACTAAGCAGAAGGGAATATGTTTTTCGAGCCTCATAACTGACATGCTTTGTCTTGAAATGCCGTTAAGACGCCTAAAAGCTCGCAGGCTTTATTTTATCCTGGGAATTTGCACAAATCGTCGACACTTTATTAGTTGGTGCATTCGAACGACGCCAGCATGCCGTTTAGATGTTTTCACGTTGTACTATTCAGGTTTATGCGTTTGTGAATGTTTGTAACGGTGTTCTCGTGACAGAGATCCAGAATATGCCTTATTTAATGCAGCTTATGCAGCAAATTACACGTGGATACCTTAAATACAACGTTCCCACCATGTGTTTGGATTATTTTATGGAATTTGTGATTTGGATGTTGTAGGAATTCCACGTTTATGAAGGAGGCGTCAACACGGTTTATATTTTTCCCTTGTGAACTCTTTCCTTGAGGGTCTGAAAAGCATTTGAATATCGCTGCGTGAGGAAGAGGCTTTATTTGGTACTTTGGTGCTTTGTTTGGTACTCTGGAAAATGTTGCAACACGCTCTTCCGTGTTATTAAGTTAGGTCATATGTTATCAATCCCTCTCTCTGTACGGTCTTCCACAGATTCCTGTTGGGTGGTTCAGGTCACATTTTTTTAGATGTCCTTGGTTTAAGAACTCTATTGTATGTTAAAACTGATCCGTGTTTTATGTTCAAATGTTTATATATTCAAGCATCTCCATGTTTGCGACCGCAAATAAAAAGAAGTTGTGCTGGAACCACTTCACATATTGTCAAATGTTTTCATTTCTCATTAGTCAGAACATTTGTTCAAAGTCTTTTACCTACACAGAGGAAGTTAAATGTTGTACAGAAAGTGAGCTTACTGAGGTGTTGACCAATTCTAATTAAAAATAGCATACTTGCGCTACAAGATACTTTGGTGTCTTGGTAAAGTACATCCCACTCCCCCTGATAGTACACTTACATCATGGAGAAATCTATTTGACGTCTGCAAGACGTTTTTTTTTTTTAGAGCGTTTGCTCATCTGCAACGGGCGTTTCCAATAGATTCCTGTTGGGTGGTTCAGGTCACATTTTTTTAGATGTCCTTGGTTTAAGAACTCTATTGTATGTTAAAACTGATCCGTGTTTTATGTTCAAATGTTTATATATTCAAGCATCTCCATGTTTGCAACCGCAAATAAAAAGAAGTTGTGCTGGAACCACTTCACATATTTTTGTCAAATGTTTTCATTTCTCATTAGTCAGAACATTTGTTCAAAGTCTTTTACCTACACAGAGGAAGTTAAATGTTGTACAGAAAGTGAGCTTACTGAGGTGTTGACCAATTCTAATTAAAAATAGCATACTTGCGCTACAAGATACTTTGGTGTCTTGGTAAAGTACATCCCACTCCCCCTGATAGTACACTTACATCATGGAGAAATCTATTTGACGTCTGCAAGACGTTTTTTTTTTTTAGAGCGTTTGCTCATCTGCAACGGGCGTTTCCAATCAGATGTCAAATAGACGTTTAGAAAATATATTTAAGATGTTTATGATTTAGAATGTATGTAAAACTGACATCTTAAAGACGGCTATCAGATGTTTGTACACAGCAGATGCTTTCCAGATGAAGCGATCTTTAACAGACATCTTGCAGACGTACGTGTGCTATCAGCGCCATGTAGCATATTGAATCCACATTTCTTAAATTCGTAAATTCATTACCTTGTTTTACTACGCAGCTCTCTGAATTAGTTGATTCTACACCGGACGCAACCGTTGCAAATCATTTGTACTTTGTACAAGGCATCACACTGTCGGGGATTTCTCGCTACGCCGCATCCAATGTAGACAGCATCTGATTATAATTAACTTCTATTGTCTTTTGTCGCGTCAGGTGTAGACACGTTGTAATATTCGCCGTCGTTAATAGCAACGCTGTTAATCAGTCCACTCAAATGAAACCGGCGCTAAACTCCGCGGACTCTCACTCTCGTTTTAATCAGTGTATGGTTTTAATACGAACTCATTTGGCGTCTTGGTTTTTGCGTAACTTACCTCAGATGTTATACCTCAGATTAATGATATAATGTACAGTCAGTTATTGAGTATCCCTTTGCGTACAGCATTAACCCAGTTATTATAATGAATGTGGTCAAATATTGAACATACAGCATTTGTCACCTGCTGTTAATTACCACAGAAAATATTTAAAAAAACAAAAAAAACATGTCTACAGTAATGCACTTGCAATGGAGGACTATATTCTGTTACACAAAAAGAACGGAAAAGCCAAAGGTGATACAGAATTCATTCTTTAATTTGGATCATTGGTGCTCAGTCTTTAAAAGTATGACGAAATCTGAGGACACAAGACAAACACAGAATGTTTCCGAGGGGACAATTGCAAGATATACACTAAATATCGTCCATTACAAAACTTGACTTTATGTTTGATCATGACCCGGTTTCCATATCCATGTCTTCAACGTACTCGGTTTCAGATCTGCAGATCTCCTCCAGAGCCAGTTCTGCGACGATATAATACAGTTTAATGCACTGCAATGGACTCATTTTAAGACTAATATGTTTAAGGATGTTAAATGTGCTATATCCAATGTTCAGGCTAATCAAAATGACGTTGGCATCAATTACTATAATCGAATGTACGGACACAAACTCACCTTCGCTCTCGGACAGATCTGGGACCAGCCGGAAGGTGTCTCTGATGGCGGGAATGACCTGATCGTACATGTGCAGGACTTCCAGACAGTGTTCGGAAAAAGACGAGTCCTTCAACAGCAGCCAGTGCAGTAACATCAGAGCTTCTCGCAGTACCTGCAATCCAGGACTCGTCCAGCTCCGATTACCCACCGTTTGACTTCCTCTGCCTTTTGTTTTCAGCCATTGTCTGTGTAAAACCACAACGACCGTCCGCACCACCTGAGGAGGAATCAAAATGCATTGTGTGGTCAGTACCAGACATATCAGTAGCTATTTAGTGTCATTTGTTTTGAATACCCTATAAACAATGATAATTTCCCATTGTGCTTCTATAGACATTTTGTCGTCTTACTTGCAAAAAACTAATTATATTCTTGGGTGGTTTTGCTTCAAAACTAACAGATAGTGAGGGTAAAAAGTGTTTTCTGAAGGTATGTCTGAATCAAACCTCATTAATACACTGGCAGGATGATTCACACAAAGCCGCCCATGTCCCTGTCTTCTGTGTGAACAGCTTGGTTAATAACCGGATGACCTGTTTACAAACGAATCAGATTTTTAATACTATTTTTATGTAATAGATTTCAAATGAAATATTACAGGATAATCACCTCAAGTTCTAAACGACTCCACACATCCTCAGAAGCGGATTTATCCGGTCTAGATGTGACGTACTGGAATATTTTGAGAAAAGGACATGGATCTGGGGGGGAAGAGGGAGGGTTCGTGTAAAATCATGCCAGCAGAAGATGATCAATGGAGCACTAAAAGATACTTACATTCATGTGAGCAGAGTTTAGTAGCCATGTCTTCATTATAGATGATAAACGACAGAAATCTCACAGACAGACGGACTATTCTGTAGGACGTCTCCTGAGTCAGACATTTAGACAACACTTGACTTGACATCACCACCTGTAGTCTACATTTGAGAAATGAGACAGCAGTTTAATTATTATCATCATCATCATTATTATTATTATGTATTTAAAAAAACAAATACAAAAAAATATACAAATAAGTAAATTACTATAATAATAATAGCAATATTTTTAAAATAAAATAAAACACTGGCTTTGTTTGAAATGGAATACTAACTACTGTACTACATACTAGTATATACTAGCTGTCCCTCCAGAGGTCACATCTGTTGGTCTCATACGGCATAAAGGATGTCTAATTTTTGAAGTAATCACCATTAAATGAACTGTTATTCCATGCGAGGCATAAATTACTGTGATTTCTTTCTTACTTTAGAATATAATAGTTGCTTTTCTGAAATAAGGCTGCCTGAATGACTCTTCAGATTCTTCAGAGGACTGAAACTTGTTCTGCAGACTGTTTTTCAAAATAGCATGTGAAATACAATACAGTATCAGTTTATAGCATGCAACACGTCAAAGAGAAGGATGCCACATTATTGACTTCACTACATTGTTTCATTTGGCATGCATACAGTTTTAATGCATAAAAAATTATGTTTCTATTTAATCCAATTTTGTTTAATATTACACAGTCTAGGCAAATAATCAAGATGGTATGAATTGTGACTGATATTACTTATGATCCATTTGTCATACTAAAAATGGATATAAATTGTGAACACTACATTGTAGAAGCTAATTCAATCCAAAACCAAAGAACTGAAATGAAATCTAGTGCTATTGTACATTGTTTCTCATTGGATATTTTGTTTTTAGATACATAAATGTAGATATTATCGTAAACTAAAATGTAAACCATAAAAAAAAAAAAACTTATATTACTAAAAATAAAATAAGTATTAATTGAAATAATATAAAATCTATAGAAAAATCTAAACTTGTTTTAGGTAGTTACCAAAGCAACATTTCTCATTTTTGTTTAGCTTAATTTTAAGTACTCAAAAAATGAAAACTAAAACTAATAAATAGTAAATAATATATAATATATAATATTTAAAAAAAACTATACAGAAATCATAAAAAGCTAATAAAAATGACAAAAACACACAACAAAATTACTAAAACTTTAACTAAAATTAAACTTAAACTTAAAACAGAAAACAAAAATAAAATCTAATTCAAAATATTAACAAAAACTATAACAGTATATGAATGATACTAAACCTCAAGAGCTGGTTGTCCTGCGCTCTCTCGGCCAGCATACTAAGAGTCTTCAAGCTAGTGCTCACTAGCGCCTCCCTCTGGCCAGCGGCGGTAATGAAGGCAGGATCTGCCAGCTGTAGGATCCTCCTGAGAAGAGGCAGCTGTGTCTGCGTGTCCCCGTTCAGATGTTCAGAGGCGCTGAGGAGATGTTTCGAACCCTGCGGCCGCTTCACGTCCTCCTGATGGCACAAAACCACCTCCAGAGCCTCGCTGCTATAGCACACTATGTGATAGAGCGCTTTCAGGGCGGCCAGGGCGAACTCCTCCTGACCGCCGAGAGACTCCTCCAGACTCGAGGCCAGACTGGAGTCGGACGATCCCGACAGTGAGCTGCCGTGGAGCGAGGTCTTTGCTGAGCTCTCCACCGTCTCCAGAGACTGACAGTATGTGCTGATGTGGAAGGTCAGCAGGGGGAGGAAGTGCGCCGCAGCTGGACAGGAGCGCTGGGAGGGTTGGAGAGCAGCGTCTGGGTTATGTGGGACACTGTCGGGGTGATGGAGAGCTAATGCGGTCAGAGCGGACATGGCCAGATTTTGCAGCTGGTGAAATCGAGCTTGAGGATGATGAAATGATCTGAGTTCTGTGGAGGACGAGTTGGAAGTCGACAACGATCCCCTGAAGAAAGAGGGGGAAAAAAAAAACTCTATTCACAATATTTCAGATATTGAAAGATGCCATAAAAGTAAACATTGAAGAAATAGTTATACTATATACTACATGCTATAGTATAATATAATATGCTAATAGTTATTCAAACATGGATGTTTTTTTAATTTTCACAAGTTTCCAGGCTTAAAAATCACATTTTAGAATTAAGTTTTTCCCTCATATTTCTAGGTTTTCATAGTTTTTACTTTAAGAAATTAAGAAATTATTATTGTTGTTAATAATAATAATGATAACAATAATATATTTTTTTATAATATTTAATTGTGATAATAAATAAAAAATATTTTAAGTTTAAAAGGAATATTTTACAAGTCATATATAGTTATCAACTCAATAGTTATTATCAATACCATATTTAAATTAATAATAAAATACAATTTTAATAAAAACGACATTTTGAAAATGTAATAAAGCAAATGCCATGATGTAAAATTATCACTAATAATAATAATTATTATTAACAATATATGTAATTTACTAATAAATAATAAAATACAACATATTTTACCATTTTAAAAATGCAAAAAGCATATATCATGTCAAATCATAATTATAATTAATAATAAGAATTAACACAATCTTCTATATTTAGTTTAAAAATTAATGCAACAAATAGAATATTTTAATGTTTTAAAAATGCAAAAAAAAAAGCAAATACTACTAATACTACTACCACTAGCAATAAAAAATAATAATACAAGTACAATGTTATTATTGTTGTTATCAATTCAATATTCTACACTATTTAATAAATAATAAAATACAATTTTACCATTTTAAAAACGCAAAAAGCATATATCATGTCAAATCATAATTATAATTAATAATAATTAACACAATCTTCTATATTTAGTTTAAAAATTAATGCAACTAATAGAATATTTTAATGTTTTAAAAATGCAAAAAAAAAAAAGCAAATACTAATACTACTACCACTAGCAATAAAAAAAAATAATACAAGTACAATGTTATTATTGTTGTTATCAATTCAATATTCTACACTATTTAATAAATAATAAAATACAATTTTAATAATATACATATAAAAAAAAACAGCAAATGTCATGATTTAAAATGTCTTTTAAAAAAAGACGTCTTTAAAAGCTTCTTTTTTTTTTTCTTCTAAAATGAATGTGAAGCTGGTGTTCTTAATGAACCGTATATATTTGATCAACGTTTCCAAAGTTGACATTGCTCAAATATTCCATTGGGAAATACCAATATTTACAAATGACGCAATGGAATATTGTAT